TAGTTTATTCCGCAAAGGCAATAATATCCCAGAGGTACTTTGTATAATTGAACCACAACTGACTTATATGTGGCTTTTGCTATCTTATCTTAGTACCCCATGGCATTACTGCACATCATAAAGCCACATATATAGTAAAGGCAGTCTGCAATAGTTGTTTTCTACTTAGTTTATTTCTGAGCTGTGGTTATGAGGCCTATAGGCATGTGACTGGCAGGCTTCCTTTCACAGGAGTTATTTATAAAGCTAGATCTTGTTCTTTGAAAAAGGAAATGCCTTCGCCACCTTCCGCTTGTTAATTAGAAACTATTCAAGGCCAGTTCCCATTCACACCAACCATCTCACCCTCTAAGTATGTTGTAATACTCACTGTACTCCCACAGTGCATAATACATTTAGCATAATAATTATTTATAAAAATAAATAAATAAAATCTTTGGTATTGTGCACTGTGTACGATTTAGTTTAACTAAATAATATATGAGCCTTGCTGACTGTGAATTTGGGTTTGAATTGAGTTGGTTGACACCATTCATATTTTTAAGTTTTTACCTAAATAGGGCTGTTTAGTCCTACAGAAAAAGGAAATTATTTTCTGAAGATGTTTGCATTAAATTTATCCAGAGTCTTAATTATTTTAGTGTAAGATTGTAAAATAGATGCATTGATGCATTTTATATTATGCTGGATATTATGCTGGATAGGTGCTTATATACCTAATTGAAACTAAAACACAGGCTGTAGCTAAGGTGTGCTAGTTTTGGTTCTTTGTGGGGAGACATGAAATAGTGGGTTTGGCTATATCACAACTACTAAGTCAAAGTTTATAATGAAGTTGACATAAAATAAACTGGTCAATTTTCCCATGAAGGTCAGAGTGACATGTTCATTTTATTGCCCATGTCCTCTGCTGCTAATAGCTACCTTCCCTGTGCTCCCCCTCTGCCTCAGTCATTAGTTGGAGTGCTTGGAAATACCCAAGAATCTTGGGTTTGAGGGAGAATGTGACCTTCTTCCCTACCTCCCACTATACACAACACCTGACTGGCCAATCATGTGGGGACAAGGGGGGGGGTTACTTTGTGTAAGCTCTAGACACAGTCCGGCACAGAACTTACACAGGATTGGACTATAAAGAGAACCTGTTACTTTTGGATTTGGGAGAAGGTGTACCTTAAAACTGTTTTACATATTTTGCTAGAAGTAGAGAACCTGCTGTATATAATGGGAATGGGAACCCTGAGTGGTTCCAACTAGGTTTTTTTTTATTTGCATTGTCATTGCAATCTTCCCTTCAGGGCTTACATTATGTTATGTGTTACCTAATGTAAGTGACCTTGAATTGGCTTAGAAATGTTCGTTAGTTGGGCTATTTGATTACATTTCTTTGTGCACAGTTGTGGAATTATATGTGTATAATAAGGCGCAATACTTGCCAAATTACAATATAGCTCTGCTTTGTAGTAGATAGCTTTCATAGCTATAATAAACTGATATTGAGAGCATCAAGATGACTACAAATGCATTAGCTTCCCAGATAGTTACATGTGTTGCTTTGGAAAAAAAAGACACAAATTACGTTGTACTTAAAAGCTTCTAATTGGTTATCCTGGATATACAGTTGCCTTTTATTCTTCTTTATTTTCTAAAGATAAAAGAAAAGCTTGTGGTGTAGTGAGGCTGCTTTGCAGCACAGAAATTTTAGATTTAGCTCTTTAGTTCTCCATATTTTTTTCTGTGACTATGGTAGGGATATCTGACTGCAAGCTCTTCTAGATCTAGAACACTAATGAGAAGGGTTGTCTATAAAAGCATGGCAGTCAGCTATATATGATATTAGCGAAAGTGTGATCATTCACTTAATAGGATGAGAAAATATAGTAAAATAAAAGAAATGTGTGCGTAAGATGGTAGCATAAGACTAATGCTTAAAGTGTATGTAAAATCTAACAATGTATTTGCTTCCTCTTGGTCTCTTTAATATACCATTGAAAGTATCTTGTTATATCTGTTCAGTAACTGCACAAAATATCTGTCGATCATGTCAGAATTTCAGAGCTGTTCTGTGTCCCCTGAACACTGTATTATGTAAAGTAGCACAATTAGCCCTCCCAGTCCTTGTCTTGAACTACAAAAGCATTAGAGACCCTATGATGAGGACAGTGTGAGGGTTTCAGTAGTATAGCAAATGACAACGGGGCAGGCCTGGCGCCATTCTGTACACAAACATGCTGTTTGTTGTCAGCCCAAGAAATTAGGAACTAGTGTATTTCTGGCAGATCAATGGGTATTTTTCTGTACTTGAATTGTCTTTACAGTTATAAAATATAGAGACATGTGCATGCTTTGCATGAATATATACTTTTATTATGGGGATTTTATATAGATCCGACAATTTTATGCAGAGCTTTACATGTAGAACATTCACATCAGTTCCTGCACTCAAGGAGCTTACAATCTAAGGTTCCTGTTGCACACAGGGCCAATTTAGACAGGAGCCAAAAAACATTCCTCATGTCTTTGGAGTGTAGTAGGAAATTGGCGTACCCAGAGGAAACTCATGCAAGCATAGGGAGAACATGCAAACTCCTTGCAGATAGTGTCTTGACCAGGATACAAACCAGGTACCCCCAGTGCTGTAAGGCAGAAGTGCTAACCACTAAGCCACTGTACAGCATTATTTTTATTATGCTCTGACATAGACTTTAAGATAGTTCTTGACACCTTCATAGAATTGTCATCTTGTATTAGCAGCTGTTTCAGGTTATAGTGGTGCATAACAAGAGAACACCGAAATGTCCAGTAAATAAAGAAGTCAATACAAGGATTTCACCAGCACACACTTAGAAATTCAAATAAAGTGTCACTGTGTCGCTCTGATGATGGATCCCTGTGAGGACCCGAAACATTAGCACCATATGACACTATCAGGTCTATTCACAAAAGGGTGAAGAGTTTGGAGAAAGCAGGAGAAGCGAACAGTCTAGGCCAACATAGCCGATTTGGAAAAATTCTCCTATTCAGCTGACTTTTCAGTTTAGCTATGTTGGCCTAGATTGTTCACTTCTCCCGCCTTCTCCAAACTCTTCACCCTTTTGTGAATAGACCTGTATGTGACATCCTTCACTGAATAAATATATCAATGCAATATTGATATTTTAATTTCTAAGTGTGTGCCGGTGAAATCCTGGTATTGACTCCTTTATTTACTAGACATTTCGGTGTTCTCTTGTTATGCACCATTATAACCTGTAAACAGTGCATAGATGTCCCCAGGAGATATGTTAAACCATCCCTTACATTGTATAACAATCTGTTTACATGTTTTCCACTGGTGTAGACATTATATTTATTTATCATCCTGTTTAATAGAGGGTATGTATTGTTTATGTATTTTTTTAAATTAACTGAAGCTATATGGTATGCTAAAGGGGTAAGGAGGAAGGAAAACCCCATGTTGGAGATTATAAGAAACAGATCCCTGGACTTGATAGTGTTGTTTAAGTTTTCCCATATGAGTCATCTTAGACAAGAGTCTGGAGGTGCACACTTGTCTCATATTTTATTTTGCTGTTTAGTACTTTCCAGCCATTTCACCAACGGAAAAAAAATTCCTTTTATAAGTGCACCGTCCAACAATTCCTTAGGGCTGTGTTTGAAGTAGCAGTCAGCAGGGATACTGTGTATATAAAGATAAATTCTTGCCTGTTCATATAATATCTTCATTTTTTTTCTAAAGTAAAACACTTTATCTAGGATACATGTAGAATGTAATTTCAGACTATTAAAACAGATCTTTCCCCGTCTCTGTTTGGCTGATTCTCTCTCCCCCCTGCCTCTCTTTTACTCGTAGTGATGATGGTAAAGGATATTTAGAAGAGCAGAGAAAACGCCCAGGGCATGACACAGACATAGCTGGAGTTAAAGTTATATAGGCATCTGGAGAGATATTTCTGCTTTAAAAATCAGCAACCTGGCATTAAATTGAGAGCCATCTGCTAATCCTGACTGCAGAATAAATACATTACCTTTTATAGTATTGCTTCAGTCTTTCAAATCCATTGGCAAACATCAGATCTAAAAACTAGAACAAAGACTCACAACTACCGTTAGTTTATAACAAAACTTCTTACCAAAGAGGGAATAAGGATCAAAGCATCCTTTTTTTTCTATTTTGTTAAAGCAAATTATCCTCACATCACAGATTTTGGCAGGTTTTTGTTCCATTCAAGTTCAGCATTCATTGGAGTTAGTTTCTCAGTGTAGAACACATGGATGTAATAGTCCAGTGAGAACATTGGTTAACTCTTTCAGTTTTAGCACACATGTATCTGGCTTATTAGAATAAAAACAAGACAATAGAAAATGAAAACAAAAAAAGTAACTTATAGTCATATAACTTGTCTTCCCCCCTCAGAGAATAAAAGATGAAACCTGATTGGTTTTCTTTTCTCAAGTTTTACCTCTTTAAGATGCAGTGTGCTTAAAACAACAGTTTGAGGTTTCTAAAATCTGACTTTTAAGACATTTTCTATGTTATTGAAACGGGGTGATGCTAATGTATAACCATTACTTAGCATTTTTTGGCTGAAAATTACAAATAGTCTTTACAGCAAAAAACTTAGTATGAAAGCAAGCTCTCATTAGTAACATTAGCAGACTTCAAACCCTGTTATGTAGGGGGTGTAATATTAGACATTGGCTTCAGTAAGAGGCTTTGATGTCTTTAGTGAAACAAATGGATAAGTGGGCAAGTATGAGCAGCAGTTGTTGTCATGTAAATACTGCATAAAGCAAGTTAGAGCCATTTATGTCAAAAGAGGTATTTACCATTACTAATGGGGCTCATTTGTTGGAAATGTACCCCTCAGGTTATGTAAGGATTAAACAAATGAGTCATCATTGATTTTTTTCATTAGTAATGTAGTTTGTAAATGTTGTTACCCAGATCATATATTTAAAGTATTGTTTGTCACAAGTCACATTTCACTTTTTGGCAGAAACCAAACCTACCTCAGAGACAGTTAAGCCTACTATCAAAACAGAGGAAACTACAACACTTGTGGTTCCAGAAGAGGAAACAAGTGATTCTACAGGTACTGAAGGTAACCACGCTTTTAGAAAGATTATCAATTTGTATTCAGCATAAAAAGCTTTATTTAATGCACATTTAACATAATTATATTTATAGTTTCATGTGTTTTGATTAGATCAAATCACAAATAACTCCTTTCTAAAACATTACAATCGGATTGTACAAATCAGTTTAGTTTTACATTAACCATTAATATTAGGTTACAGGGAAAGTAAGTGCTCATGAACAGCTATTATTTTACAGCCACATATTAGCTATCATAGATGTAGCTTATATTTTCATTATCTGTAGACCCCCTTCAAAATGACTGTTTAGAAAAGGGTCATGAAGTGGAATTTAGTTGGTTTGGTCAGTCTGATGACTTATTCTGAATATGGATGAGCAGCAATTTTGCCCAGTATAACAAAGTATAGAATAAGGTTTGTTTTTTCCTTACAGCTTGAACACCTTTTTTTAATGGTTAGCTAGCTAGTCTTTGTAGCTATATCTGTAAATGGGTTTTGTATATAAAGATCAGCAACATATATAATCATTCTGCCCAGTTCATACCCAATATATTTTTTCCAATGACACTATGCTTTTTCTAAAGACAGAATAGCTTGCTTTATAACACAACGGGATATATAGCCTCCTTAGTGGCCAAAGGTGATTGCTACAAGAACCAATTTTAATGACATTATGTAACAACAGCACAGTGCACAAGTGATCAAAGCTGGGTGTGCTTGCCAGTTTTGAAGGAGATTTACCAAGATGAAAAATTTTGCACAGAACACATGTTTCTATCGACTCAGCATGTTGTTATCTTAGGTCCTTTAAAAAAAGAAGTACATCCAATATGTACTGAAAGTCTCATGATTCAGAAGGAAGCATGTTCCGTCATTCGTAACCACTTATCTTTAATATAAGCACATAATACAATAATATTATACCTGCTGTCCCCTTTGGCCTACAGTCTTGTTCTGCCTTTTCTTACCCTTGCCGACTGGCTAGCCTTACAAGATATGACTTCATTGCCCCACAAAGCAAAGAAACTAAAAGACATATTCGTCTTAGTCAAATTCAGTACACCTATAACTGACAACTAGATGAGTAGAGCAAACTAGCACCCTACTCTACTATCATATTGGTTCTAGGAGTATATTGTATTGTAGCGGGGCAGCAACCTGGAACATTTTTCTATTCACAGGAAAGCTTTACTGACAGCCTGCAACATGATGTGTGCATGGCTATTTGCCTTTCCTAGCATCCCTTCCTCTCTATACCATGTCCACACTGGCTAAGCAGAAATACAGTATTGAATACAGTACTTTCCAATTCTTATTTTGCTTCTGTTACATTGGTTAATATCCTTTTATGGTACTAAAATTAGAAATTCCATGTTTGCAAGTGGGGTTTTATATGCATGAACAAATGAGCAGGTAGCTCTGGCTATAAGTAGATCCCCTAGTATTTCCCAAGAAGACATTATTTTGAGTTTTTAATGGAAGACTGGGTATGATTATGAGTGACCCAAGGCTCTCTGTCTTTGTTGTGTTGGTGGGATTAGGTGGGTTTCAGTCTATCAAAATGAATGTCAGATTTAAGACATGTGAGCCAACTAAAAGGATCCCATAAGGCACGGATTTCATACTCCTCACAGCTTTAGCAATTTAGCACTGGATAAAAAAAAAAAGAAAAAAGTGATGTAAAAGCATCATTAAAATCTCTCTACTTGTGTTTTCTTACCTTTTAGATTGCCAGGTCCCATCAGGATTTAATTGCAATTTCGACCATTCTGAAGATGTGTGCAGCTGGACGCATGATATTGAAGCCGATTTTACGTGGTCATTCCATCCCAATAGCCCATGGATGGGACATTCAAGCTCCATTCCTGGTAAGTGCAAAGTTCATTATATTGACATGGAACAGGTCATTCTGAGACTGGTGAATATCTAAAATGCAGGTGAGTTATTATTCTGCTCACTCTACAGACACCAAAATCTTAAAACTATGATTATTGATAGATCTGCGTATATACAGTATAGTATTTGTGGGTTTTATGATCCTTGATTATCTAACCTCAGTTTGGGACACATTTAAGTTAAAAATAGCCTAAAATAAAGTAAATAGAGTTTCTCTTTTAGCATTAAGCAACAAGTGAGCAGTATGTCATATACTGTACAAGATTTTACAGTACTTTAGAATATTTATGTATGGCATAAATAATGATAATTCATGCAAAGGTAATATTATTCATCAGTATCCCTTCTGGATTTGCCACAGGGATATGTTCATCAGCATAATCTGTACAATGCCTTGATGAATACATGGTACTATAGCAACCAACTTTTTAACTGTTATAAGTAGTGTTATCTTCTATATAGGGCAATGCATACCATTCATTTGTTGCCTTGTACCCACATAGTAAAAGTCTAAAGACCAATTTAAAAAAAATAGTGAATAACGACATTACAAATGTAATATTAAGACTTCTACAATGCAATCTGGCCCACCGGAACATAATTATGTCATGATGATGCAAAGCATACAGTATACAGTATTTATCCTTACAGTTTACATAAAGGATTAGCAGCCTTATTTAAAAATGAGTCCTAACTTAACTTTAGTAACTCACAGCCATCAATCAGAATCAATGCTGTTCCAGTCAGACCAGGACAAGATTAATACTGATTTGTTGGTATAGCCATCAATCAGAATTCATGCTGTTGAAGTCACACTAGGACAAGATAAATTCTTATTTATTTCTATGACCATCACTCAGAATTCACGCTGTTCAAGTCATACCAAGACATGATGAATTCAGATTTGTTACTATGGGATACTACTTTTTCTCCCTAAATCCCATTGAATCCCAGAGCATTTTTGGTCTTGTTTCTGTACATGATATTTTTTGTTGCAGTCTACCCTAACCTATTATACATCTATGTTTTTTGGGTAGATGGGGCTGTAATTTGGTTGCAAGTGTAGATACATATATTTTTATTTCCTCAGTGTAATAAATGGTAAAAAAAAGTTTTAAAATGTATTTTACTGTAATTATTTTTAACTCAATGTTTACATCATTTGTGCAACCCTATGAATTTACGGCAACATACAGGTGAAACTCGAATAATTAGAATATCGTGCAAAGTTCATTTATTTCACTAATGCAACTTAAAAGGTGAAACTAATATATGAGATAGACTCATTACATGCAAAGCAAGATAGTTCAAGCCGTGATTTGTCATAATTGTGATGATTATGGCTTACAGCTCATGAAAACCCCAAGAACCCCAAATCCACAACCTCAAAAAAGTAGATTATTACATGCAATCAATAAAACAAGGATTGTACATAGAACAATATCGGACCTCTGAAAAGTATAAGCATGCATATGTACTCAGTACTTGCTTTGGGCCCCTTTTGCAGCACTTACTGCAATTACTTTTGCACGATATTCTAATTATTCGAGTTTCACCTGTATAATCAACAAATGCTGCTGTTCACATTAGCATGACTTCTTTATAAAATAGGGGAATGATAAAGCTCAAAGTGAATTGTACTTTAGTAGAGCTTTATTCCCTTTTTAGACCCTACATTGCAGCGCATGAAGGGGAAAAATGATTTGCGTAAATTCTTACTGTAACATTAAGATAAGCTTTAGGTCGTGGAGAGGTTAAAAATTAGCATGACAACAATTTTTTCTTAGGTTTATGATCCATAAACTTTTAAAGGACATTGCGTTTACTTACATGAGTTTTTGAACACAGATCATCCAACCTCAGTGATGCTACCTGAATTCTATGTTTTTTTACACTTTTTTTTTTTTACAATTTTTTAAACTTTTACACTAATCATTGCAGCTCCTGGACTTAGTGCTGGACCCAGGCTGTTACTGACAGCTTGCAGTTCCTGCGCTATTGACAGGGTGAGGGGCACAGGGTTGAAGGGTCTGTTCAGCCAACAGTGATACTTTACTAATAGATGAATCTGGTGGTGAGATCTCAGCACTGAGATCTCTTCCTACCCATTACTCTGTTCCGACCCACCTTTGGTTGTTGCTTCGCCTCTGTAATATAAAATAAATAAGGGATCCAACATAGAGAGAAGGATAGGGTTGGAATGGACATAACATGTGTTCAGATCTATAAACTCAAAGCAGAGATCTGATATCACCATCGGAGTCCCTGAGAAATAGAAGATACTGTTAGGTGCTCTAACTCTCCATCGTCAACTGAAAACTGAAATATCAATACAAAGCACATTTACATAGTGTATCTGTAATTTGCAACATGAAATTGTTAATGTTTCATTTATATAGATTGCAAGCACTTTGGCAGACTTCATTGCAGACCATTACAAATTGCTGTTTGGTTGAAACTCATACCTGATTCCTATATTCTAAGTGGGAGGGTGGTCTGCCACAGTCTCATGATTAGGCCCAATGTTGTAAGAAAATTTGCCTAACACATGAGAAGGACCTGTCCCACCTCCTGTGACCCACTAAGTGGTAAAACAAAGGTACGGCCATCCCTGTAACATAAACCTGTAGAAACAAATCAGTAAAAGTAGTTCCTTTATCTCTGACAGGTTCCCTTTAAGTTATGTTCTCTGTAACATACAAAATAGATCATAGAAGCTTTTAAATGATACAGGAACGCAAAAATAGTGGCAGTTTAGTAAATCAAAAAAGTCCACGTGTGGGTCAGCAATCCGTTTTGGAACAGGCCCCTGTGCAGCGAATAGGTGCTCACAGCAACAGAGAGAACACTTACCAACAGTCTCTATAGAAATCACTGCCTGCCCATCTCCATCAGCCTAATAATGTTTAATTAATATAATGAGCCTTCTGCATGAAGGGAAGAGCCTATTTTTATAACCTATGCAGCATTTTGCTTTTCATTTCCTCTCCCCAGAGATATTATAATTGCCTGTTATTTTGTTAACCTTTTATGTGCCATATGCTATGCAGCTGTTTGATAGTAGGCACCACAGGTAATCACAGTGATAATGTGAAAGGCTGGTAACTTTTATTTCCACTTATAATGGGCATAAGCAACCCGTCAGCACTGCTTTTATTTAAAATGTAGGAAAACTAAATATATAAATATATATCTAAAACTATACTAATATAAAACTAAAAACTATATATATATATCCGAATGTTATAAAACGTGAGATGCCAGAAGGCTTCAGGATAAATGATATGCGCATGACATTGCCTGCATGCAGAACCAGACAGAGTCCAGTGAATATGCTTGTCAAAGCAATGACAATATCAAGTGTTATGCTGTAAGCTGCATAAACTCATGTGCATAATGCATCTAGAGTTGTTAGATGCTGACACTTATTAAGCCTGACTAATGAAATCATTGCTCCATTGTATATTTTAAGGAGTAACATAGCCCTAGCGGCAGAATTTATAGTTATTGGTGAGAAACCACCTCACGATTCTGTGCCAAGTCAGTCTCCTATCATGATACTGATACAGAAATCAAACTATATTTTTTTTTTGTGATTTGACTGTGAGTTTATCGTTCTGTACAGTAAGAGTAGCACACTATTTAATGTATTGTGTTCTGTTTTAAGTGTGGACTGCATAAATTGTATACATTTATGTGTTCCTGAGTGCCAACCTTGCCAAAAGGGCTAGACACATATGAAATAATTTAGTGCTTGGAGACTGCATAAATGCATAAAATTCTTGTAGTCGCCATTAAAAGAAACCTGTGCTTTGTCCATACAAGAGAAGTAACATGTTAATTTAATGCCGGCCCCCTGCATCTGCTTGTATTTACCATTCCTTTGCTCCATTCTGTTGACACATGGGAGCGATAAGAAGTAGCCTTGTGTAAGCTCCAAATCACAAATTGTAGCTTTCACAAGGTTAACTCCATCCCCTTCACCATCTAATAGCACATGATGTCTTTGTGTGGCCAATTGCCAACCACCAGTGCTGTCATGTGGGATAAACAGAAGTGAGTCACATCCTTGCCCATACTTGAAAGGAACAGGAATGTGACTTCCTTTCCCCGGTAAAATGATAGCTTGGGATGGTAAATATGCACAGCTCTGGCAGCCAATGGCGTCCCAAGGGGGGTGCGGCCTGCATCGGGTGACACCATCAGAAGGAGGGATGGTGTCACCCTCTCTAAAAAGTTAGGCACTCGATTATGGAATAAGAGCCCGACAGCTGCAAGTGAGAGGAGGGGACCCGGTAGCATACCTTATCCCACTGGATGAACATACCCTCCTCTCTTTGCTGGCGTCCATCACCAAGATGGCACCTGGCAGTGAAGTGCATGTGACATCATTACACGTCTGCATAATGATGTCACGTGTAAACATAATGACGTGCGCAACAGGTGACTGGGCTGGCAGCTGCATTGAAATTAAATGTGTGGGCAAAGCACAGATTCACTTTACAGTGTAGTTTCTCTTTTGTCGTCAAATTTGGGAAAACCCCTCTATGTGTTTGTTACGTGCTCCTGTTCACACAGCAGTGGGGTATTACAACAACCAGATATTGCCGTTCCCTGGGTGATATGTGTGTGTGTGGGGGGGGGGGGGTACAGGGACAATGATGGCATACTTGGACTTGTAGTTCCTTAGCTGATATATATGTGTGGGGGTGGGGGGTACAGTTCCAGTGGATGTTTATATAATATGGGGGGGCGGGGGGCGAAAAAAAATGTTCTGCCCCGGGCGCCCATAACTCTGGTTACGCCACTGTCACACAGCATACATTAAAATATAAAAACAAACAAACATTTCTTACCTTTTTAGATGTCTCTTTAGTGAAAGCCCTTGTGTAGATTTGCAGACTGTTTGAGAAGTTTAAAAGTGAAAGTAGAGGGACAAATTGAGGGACAGATTGAACTTCCTCTCATTAACATACAATGCTTCTAAGTCTTTATTACTTTGCTAGGACAGACAGTTTCCACATCTAGCTTACAGCTGATAATGGAATCTGCCAGCACAGTACAGACAGAGTTTATTAGAATAAAGATAAAGCTGGGTATACATGATTGTATTTTCTTCTTTCAACATCCCACAGCTCCTCCTTAACATTACATAGAGGAGAAGCTAGTTTGGGTTTTTAAGTATAAAACACTTAAAATGTTAGCAGAATTTAGACCAGTCCCTGGAGTGTCTCTCCCCTTCCACTGCAGCGTTCTAGTGTATAGATCATCAAGATCTATATACTATGGGGGGAATTTATCAAAACTGGAGCAGATAAAATCTGGAGAAGTCACACATGGCAACCAATCAGCTTCTCTCTTCTATTTGTTCAGTTAAGCTTTGAAAATGAAAGTGAGAGGCTGATTGGTTACTATGGGCAACTGCTCCAGATTTTGTGTGCTCCAGTTTTGATAAATTCCCCTCACTATAGACGTGAGGACACTGAGGAAGATTCCAATGCTGCAGCGGAGGAGACAGGTTGGAGAAAGCACTGTGATAGCTGGAAAGCTCAGTGTTTTGGGTGAGTATAACTTTGTTATTTTAGCACCTAGACAAAAATTGCAAGGGTTAAGAAAAATTTCTCCTGGAGCTCTTCTTTAAATTAATTTTTTAAGTTATGTGATGGGAATGGGAACATAATATA